AGCTCGGCAAAAGTTCGTCGTAAATCCGATCTTGATCCGATATTATGGCATCCGGCAAATCTTGTTGGTAACAAAATCTGTCGTGAAAAAGCTCGGCAGCATCGTCACCGGAAGCGAAATTATTTAGAATCGCGTGATGATTCATTTGTCTGTTACACAACAATGTCGGTATAATTGGGCGAAGAGTTTAACGAACAAAAGTATCGCCCGTACCAATAAGTCGACAAGCTTTCCGATGCACTGACACATGTGTCAACAGTTCAAAGCGATGATACGAGTCACACGTTCGTACCTAAATACCTATCCACATTGTGTATTAGACCGCCAGTTAAAATCACTGGCTAACCAATTTATAACACTCTTCATGATTTTTTTCAAGGTACCTTCCTTAACAAGTATACGTCCGAGATGATGTACAAGCCGCCTTGATGACGGATGCCGCCCGACTGTGGTTATTTGCTAATTGATACGGCGACGGCTCGTCGCACAGGCCAGACACCTCATAGGTTGGTTTGCTGCATGCTGACAGTCCTAAGATAGTTGAGAATCCCGAATATCTAGTCATTTCTGTGAGAGATGTGGTGACGACACCATGTACGGAACAACGCATCATCTTGATTGTCTTAAAAGCCATGCAAGTTTATGCTGGCCTGAAAACGGGAATGCTGTATATCAAGCAGCTCTTTGTCACTAACCCAGTTTCTCTTCTCTGCTGCGTTAGAATTGCGAGAGTCAAATGCGATTATATGCTTGTTGATTGGCTCTTGCTAGTAAAAAAAACATGATCTTTAGCAAATACTGGATAATCGCAGCCTACATAAATGATGATCCGAATAAGAAGAGCCAAAATCAGGCCACACAAGTGCTATCGTTCATAGGCTTGAATGGCGTCACTTCTGCCGCGTTCCAGCACCATTTGGTATCTCTGAAGGAAAATTGGTTGGATGCCGTGCCGCACCAGCAAATGTGCACAATCTATGTGCGAGTGGTCAGCTAGTCGAACATTCCTTTGAAGCAGGAACTCTCCTTTAAATTGTTCTTAATCTTTGCGAAAAGTAATGGCAGACCACAAATTTCAATAAAGTATTCCAAAAAGTAGTTTGTCGGCCGATATAAACATGCTTTCTGATTGTCGATATGTTATATAAAGCGTTCACACCTAAACAAATGTTTTGATATGAATCTCCTCATCCATTCCGACGATAATTCGTAGCCTAGTGAGCGACGTCACCAGACGATCGATCGTTGTTGGTCGAACTTTGTGATATAGATTGTCCCACCACACTTAAAGAAATGGACATCACTGTCTCTCATAAGCGGTAGCTGAATATGCTGTTTGTCATTTCATCCTTTGCATTAAAAACGTCGCATTGTTACTCTGGTAATGAACACTGTCGTTTGACGCAATATATGATTCTGGGAATCAAGTTTTTTTAAGACCCACTTCTGTTGGAAACTAGTTGAGTCGTACCTAAGGAAACCAGGAGGAGTTATGAAACTCCCAACGATTTGCATAATTAG